CAAACTGTTTAGTATTCTTGTAGACCCTTTGGGACCAACACAATACTTCGTGCATAAAAAATACTTTTTAAAATTTTTGTCAAATGTTTTATAATATATTATAGATAGGTCGCTTCAATCATATCTTTTCTTTATTTATTATTATTTTTATATAATATTTATTATTATTTTTAATATTGATAGAAATTCGCTTGTTAAAATCTTACGAGCCGATTAAGACCCCATATCCATATTAGATTTTATCCTCTAAATTATCCTTCAAAATACCAAAATCCCCAATTTCTTTATTTGGTTTTCTTTTGCGACCGTGACAATTAATTTGTAATGCTTTTTATTATGTTTTTTTTTTTAATTTTTAAGGTAAAAATCTTAGTCTATTAAACAAATATTTAGTATGTTCTTTTTATTAACTTTGTTTCATTTTTTAAGGAGTTTCTAGCAATCTTGATTATAAATATATGATTAGATGATTTTGCTTTTATAATATTAGGGGTTGTTTGACAGTTGTTGAATGGTGTTTTGTGCAGAATTATTAAGAGATTCTCATGATATAGTTCAAAATGAAATATAATTGTTTGATAATTGTTTATAATGAAATTATGGTGCTTAATGGTTAAGGGAGACCGAAGATATAAAATCATTCAGGGGTTGGTTGTTAACCTCTCAATAGTTCCATTAAGAGGCTCTGAATCATTAAGATGTGAATCTTGTTTGGCAAAAAAAAGGTCTGCCTCTTAATGGTTCTAAAATCTTCTGAATGATTTTGTATCATGTGCATCCCTTAACCATTCAGTGCCCTCATTTCATTGTAAACAATTACTAAACAATTATAATTCATTTTGCATTATATCATGAGAGCCTCTTAATCATTCGAACCACCAAGTCATTCAACAACTGGCAAACAACCCCTCAGAGAGTTTTAAACCCATTAAAAGGCAGACTTTTTTTTGTCAAACAAGATTCAACTCTTAACGATTTAGATGATACATCTTAATGGAACTATTAAGAGGTAAATAAACAACCCCTTAGAAGATTATGTTAAGCAAAAAGTAACGTTTACTCGTTTGTTTGTTTTTGGAAAAATAGTAACGTTTAGTTGTTTGTTTTCTTTTGGAAAATAGTAATTTCAATTTATTATCTTCAAAAGTGTACTTTTAATACTTTGGCCCGGACACCCTTACAAAAAAAAAATGTACTTTTAATGTTCGTTATGAATACATTATTTTATGTTATATAAGATTTATGATCATTAAGTTAACGATATAAAGATTAGTTTGATTTTTATTTGAATCATGTTAATCTATGCTATATTATAAAGCATTTGACAAAAACTCTTAAAAATAACTTTTTATGCATGAAGTACTGTTTATTGATGCATATTACTTAAAATTTAAGATTACAAGTAAATTGTGCATAAGTACAACTTATTAAAGCTCCATACTTGAATTCGTCTAACTAACTGCAGATAAACATAATCAAATATTGGATAAACATCTCATTTTAAATAAAAAAATCTAAAATATAATTTGGATAATCATTGATAACTAACAAAATACTTAGTTATTATCTTTATAAAAAGTTATATTATTAAACCTAAATTAAATTTCTTTGTTACTAAACTTAAATTAAATTATAATTA